ATCAAAACCCCTGAGGGCAAGGCCCAGGAATCTGCCTGTAACAGTCCGCATAGATCTCTGCACACGGGCACCTCAGACTCGTGGCAGCCTGAGGTCGGCCTCCATGAACTGCTGCCGCGGACCTGCACTGGGCCCCAGCCTGCTGTCCTTCTGGTGGATGCCCTGGGCCCCCTGTGCACAGAGGAGGTTCGGGCTGTGGGGGCACAGTGCGACCCACAGACAAGCCTCGGAGCCCTTTCTCTCTCACCTCTTCCATAGCCAGACACCAGGGCATCCACAGTCGTGTATTTTATATATTTGAGAATATAAAATTGATTTCAATTTTTGTTTTCAGTTGATTTCAGTTGAACAAAAGATCTACTTTTTAAAAAACAAAGTTGAAAACTACTGTCTTTGATTACAACCGAATCATTTAATAGCTAAAACTGGGGTTTGCGAGCTCAAATGCTTGCAGGTAACGTGGATAAGTGACACACAGGGGTCGCAGGGAGGAGTCCAGGGCGTGCGATAGCTAGAAGAGGAAGTGGCTATTGCCAGAAGAAAATGGAACCCAGGTGTGTCCAGGTGTTCTGAGTTTTCAGGAGAAGCTGAAGTCAGGGATTGTTTATGGAATCTGGGTTTTTCCATGGCATGTGAGGCACAGTGGCTGACTATACAATAGACTCTGGAGCCAATCCTCCTGAGCGTGAATCCTGGCTCTGCCTCTTAGCTGTGTGACCTTAGGCACATTTCCTAATTGCTCTAGTCAGTTTCCTTATCTGTACAACGGGCATAATAGTACCTGACTCCTAGGACTGGGATGAAGATCAAACAAGTTAATACATGTAAAGTGCGTAAGCCCATGCCAGACACGTAGAAGCAGCCTTATTTAGTCATATCTGTGTCGGCTAAATGCCCACAGCATTGTAGGTCTTTTCTTTTTTTAAGATTTTATTTACTTATCTTTAGAGAAGGGAAGAGAGGGAGAGAATAATCAATGTGTGGTTGCATCTCGCGTGCCCCCAACCAGGGACCTGGCCCACAACACAGGCATGTGCCCTACACTTGGAATCGAACCGGCAACCCTTCGGTTTGCAGGCCGGGGCTCAATCCACTGAGCCACACCAGCTAGGGCTCATTGTAGGTCTTACAAGACACTCCGCAGGCTAACGGTTGGCCACCTCTGGCTTAAAGCCGTTCTTTCTGTAGATGGATCCTAAGTAGAATGCCCATATAATTTATCATCTAAACCAAGACACTTTGGAGAGAGAAAGGAAGCCCTATTACTGATTATTCCGGATGACCGATGAACAGACTGTCCCAGGCAAACCGATGGCCCTGGCCCTAAGTGCCATCTTTGTCTATGAAAAAGCAGCAAGTAGCTTCTATCTGCAAATGGCTCAGGAAGTACCCAGCTGTGCACACGAGTTTAAGGGAAGCATTCTGTGTAATCTTCAACACCAGCCCTGGGGGGTGGGGGCCTGGTAACTCTCTTCTTACCAGTGAGGACACGGAGGCACAGAGAAGTTACAGGACCTATCTAAAGCCACACCATGGCAGAGCCATTTGGGTCCCAAAGCCTAAGGTAAGGACATCAAACCCTCTTTTCAAAGGGAAGCTAAGATCCAGGATGGCATGGCTCTTGGCTCAGGCCACTGCTGTCACGCCGGACTGTGCCTGGCACACAGGAGAGCACCCGCCACTTCCGCCGCCACAGGGCTGATATTTCACAGCACCACCGAGCGTTACAAGGAGCTGTGGACATGAGGATTACATGCCAGGTCGGAGCCAAGTGCATTTCATCAGGTCGCTGCCGCTGCCAGTTCTCAGGCAGCTGATGAGTCTCATGTGCGAGTCACCGCCAGGGAAAGTGGATCCTGCCTAAAAGTCAGCCGCCTAAACCTGATACCTCCTTGGCTGGCAGATCACCCCAGACCGACAGACTAAAAGGACAGCTGAGGACACAGTCCTAAGGAATCCTCTGAGAGGAGAAATAGTACTGAAATGGGGGGGCCCACCCTGAGGTCCAGCGCCTCCGAGCTCCCGGTGTGGCCCTTTCAGCGAGTAGAGAAAAGAATGACCTGCCGTTGTGAAAGGTGTTGATGCTGGGACTGAGAGAAGATGTTCCAGCATAGACACACCCGCGACTTGCAGTGGCAATGGGGAAAATGCATTTTCATCAAAAATGATGGGAAACATGATGTTAAAATATTCTCTTCAAACAGGGACAGCGAGGGTTTGATAATCTCTGGAGTACAGTGATGGATACCTAGATGGCCCTAATACTCTTTAAAAAGTTGCAGATGTTCAAAATGTTTTCCATGACCAGAAATTAGTTTTAGAGGGAAAAGAAGACTCCAGCATGGAGGCGGGTACAAAATGCTTTGAGTCTCAAGTGTCCTTGCTGGGAAGATGAAGGCAGCTGGGAGGGTCGGCAGCAGTGAGGACCCCGTGGCAGCCAGCCCAGTGCTGGGAGGAGCCCTTCCTTTCTGTCTGCTTCAGCGATAGCGTACCTTAAAGAGATGGTAAAACCTTGAGGGGAAAAATGCTCACTATGCTGTCAATAACAGAGTGCTTTCTGGCTCCGACCAGCCTCCCTGGCCACTCTGAACCCAAAAGGAAATGTCTAGATGAGAGGTGGGACTCCAGTCTGTTCTATTCTTCACTCTACCTTGGTTTCTCCACTTGTAAAATAGGAAAACAAATGTTTCCATCAGATGAAGTTAGAAAATAGCAAACATTGCTAAGGTCACAGATATGAATTATTCCTATGGAAGGCTTATGTCTTCAGAGCTACAGGGCAGATATTAGATCTAAATGGTCCAGCTGATGGTCCATCTAGGAGAACTGTCAAGAATCCAAAGCCTTCCCATTCAATATTTCATTATATTCTTAAATGCTCTTGGTAATTGTATTAGTTCAAGTTGTTTTTGATGTGGGCACACTCCAACTCTGACTAGCTTAAGCAAACAAGGAATTTATTTGGAGGATCTGGGACAGCTCACAGAACTGCAGGAACTGCCCAGCAATCACAACTTGGTGAAGATTGTGCATGTTCTCTGGTGCAGCCCCTGGCTCCCTTCTCTGGTCTCTCAGTCCCAGGTTTCAGATTCCTGGAGAGAGAGAACCTGACTGGCCAAGTCAGCCCTGGTGTCAAAGTGGGGAGGATTATGTAGTACGAACGTGGCCGCTGAGGGTCACCACTGTGTGTCAAACCGCGCCCCCCACCCCACCAAGTATAATTCTTTCTGCACCGGGCAGCCACCCTATGACCATAATACTGGTGTGTACTATGCTGTTATCTTCTCAGTAGCTGCAAGCTAATGTTTGAAGGTCAAGGGATTCCTGTAAGATAGGCCCAAGGACTGTTTGGTGTTGGAAAGGTCATCTGCTGCTGGGTGTTTCTGGCTAGAGCTAACCCTCCTCCGGCCTGAGTTGAGAGGTTTGATCATGACTCTTGAACCCAGGAGAGGAAGGAAGAGATGTTGGCCTCCTTGGCCTGAGCACATGAATGCCCATCACAGGTGGTCCTGTCCATTGAGAGCCCAAGGGGCATTTTTGTTTCAAATCTTGAATTTTGCTTGGAAACCTCAGGTCCTTTCAAAAGGAATGTGCCCTGAAAGCATCTGTGTCTCTCCAATCCCAAAAAGGAGAAAAAACTGGATGAGGAAAGGCTGCCCTGAGGAGAGCTGCCCCAGGTTCTCAAGCATGAACTACTCCCGGGTAACTCTCCGCGGCTCTCCTCCTTCTCCCTTTAATGAGGGGGAGAAAGCAGAATTTCAGCCAAGAGGATGAGAGACTGGGAAAGAGAAGGGATCGCTCAGTTCATCGGTGACTATCAAGCCAGGGTCCGGGCCAAAGGAGAAGGTTGAGTAATGGAGCAAAGGCCAGGTCTGCAGATGGGATGGGTGTGGGCTGGGCCAGATAGAGCTTGGAGAGCTGCGCCTGTCTGGCCTCATAGAGGACAAGGCTACGCTATTGTGCCTCTGATTTATGCTGAATGCATCGTGCTGCCCTGGGGCAGGGCAGGTGGGGGAGGAAGCAGTTGGTTGACTAGGCCTTGGCACAGGGCCTTTGACAGGAGCGTTGGATGCGTGACTCAGCCTGCTTCTGTAGGGCCCTTGTGTGATGTGTGTGGTTAGGGCAGCGCACAGCTGAGCCCTGACCAGGAGGAAGGTGGGAGCTGAAATCCAGCCATGCTCCCTGTGCCAACCCTTGAACTCGCGAAGCTTCAGAGATGCTGTCGTGGGCCATGGGCCAGTGAGCAGCACCTTAGGCTTCAGCTTAGATTCAGGCCCCTGACAGGCCTCCACGTATAAGAACATTGGTCTCTGTGCTTGGGCTTAAGATTCTGGAATTAACCAGCCTTCTCAGACCTGAATGACATACCCTACTGGTAGCAAGATAGAATTTCTGAAATGTGCCTGGAGCCCCTCTACTTCTTTAAGATTAAAGAAATCATATAAGGTGGTATCTGTGAATGCCATTTACAGTCAGAGGCATCCTTGGCAGGGTGAGGAAGTCTTTGTCCCCAGCCAGGGAGCTATTCTGAAGGGGGAAGGAACATTCTCTTGCTGATGACATAATGGCGGCTCATGAGGGGACCTGTTCCACGCCAGCCGCACGGGTGAGCAGTGGCAGGGCCCTGCCTACAACCAGTGCTGAGAGGCGGGAGACGTCCGGGAGAGGACACTGAGGCAGGGCTGGGAGCGAGTGCCTCAGGAGGAGCGGCGGCAGCATTGCTGTCCTCCCTGCGTGCCTGGCACAAGGAGGCACGAATGAGGCTTTTCCTCCCTCAGCAAAGAGGACAGCACCATGAGCATGTCCCCTCCCAGAAATTCAGGATATGCAAGCCCAGAGTCGCCACAGAAACCTTTATCCTGACCCTCAAGCCCACTTGAGATGGACAGTTCAAACCTAGCCTGTGAGGAGTGTCTGCACAGTTCACTTGCATAGCCTTGATGTCACATGCACAGTAGGGACACCATACCTACATCTCCTCTTTGTCTCTGGTTGAGCAGATGCAGGAGCTGGAGCAGAGGCTGCAGGAGGCAGAGCAGAGAGCAGAGAATGCAGAGACCCAGGTAAGCGGGGAGGCGATGGAGGAGAGGGTGCAGGGGAAGTGACCGTTGGCCTTTCCTGCCCCGCTCATGGACTCGTGGATATACCCATCCCACTGAAGAGCGCCTTAAGGGATAAGGAAAACCAGCAGTCGTGTGTTAGAACTGCCGAACAAATGAAGGGGTGTGGAGCTTTCGATGGGTATGAATGAGTCTGGCTAAGAGTCGGTGCAGTGAGCGGGTGAGTGGATGAGGCCCAACAGACTAGGTTATGCTGGGGTGACGAGAGAAGTCTGACATCCCGCGGTTTATCACACTGAGTCCTCACTCATGGTACCTCTGCACTGAGGGAGAGCCGGGGACCCGGCCTCACACAGTGATTCAGGGATCCAGGGCGGGGGAGCACCCCATCTGCTGGCTGGACCTTCTGGAACACACAGCCTCCTTGGTTGCCATGGTAGGGAAAGAGAGCTGGGCGCTCACGCACCAGCTCTGACACACTTGGGCCCGGAAATACCGTGTCGTTCCTCCAGCCCCATTGGCTGCAGTGAATTGCGTGCCCATCTAACTATAGGAGAGCCAAATACTGGGGGGCACGTGGACATGCAGTGCGCCCCAAATGTCTCTGCCACGGCGAGGCTGGGGCAGTTTCCCCCCGGGGCCATTGTCCTGCCCAGCTCATCCCTGCTGGGGCCCTCAGAATTAGAGGACCCAACACCTTATCAATTCCTTCCCCCTCCCCCAACAATGAGGCTTATTTAATAAATGGTCACTGAATTAATTGGTCCACAAGCCCCGGGAAGGGCCCTGCCTGAGTGTCACAGGCTGGGGTACCAGGAAGCATCCCTTCCCATGTTAGTGGCATACAACACATCCCAACCGTATGAGACAATTGGTCCTTTTCAGGTGGGTGTGATGGAAGAAAAGGTGAAACTGTTCAACCTGAAGGAGGTGGGTTCAGCAGGCAGCCTGCACCGGAAGTACCAAGAATTGCTGAAAGCCATGCAGGGCAAAGATGAGCTCATCAGCCAGCTGGAGGCACAGCTGGAGAAGCAGGTAAGGGCTCCCCAGCAGCAGAGCACAGGGCGCCCGTGCCCTCTGCAACATCCGCACCCACTGGCCCCGGCTTCTCGAGCAGAGTCCCTCTGCTTGGCCCTGCAGTGGTGGGGAGCTCGCTCCCTCTTGAGACTATTCTTTCATGCTGAGATTTCATTATTGGAAGGTACACTAGGAGTCAGGCAGGGATGTAGTAGGAAAAGGGCCTTGGGGCAGATGGATCTGGGTTGGAATCCCACTTCTGGCACCTGCTGCTCTGTAGCTGTGGGCAAATTACTCAAGTCACTGATTCTCATTCTCCACATCACTAAGATAGGGGTTGCCCCCCATCAGAGGGCCATCAGGAGAATGATCTCAGAACCGTGTGGTGCATCAGACATGAGGCTGGTGTTTGGTAAGGGGAGCTTTCCTTGTCCACCCCCGGCTCATGGCCACCAGCACGTGGGACCCGGCACTTGGCGGTGGTATCAGAGCATCGCGGAGCTGGCCCAGCAGCAATGGTCCTCTGGTCGGCCACAGTTTCTGGGTGACCCCGAGTCGGCAGACACCAGCATTGCTGCCTCCTCTGAAAAGGGGGGCCTCCTACCCTGAGCACATGGAAGCCCAGGAGAGGCCACTGCCCAGCGTCCCTGCTACAGTTAGCGCCGTTACCTCCAGGAGGACGTGTGGAACGTTCCCCGCCAGTTCCTGAGGCCCAGCCTCCTCCCCTTCACAATCTCATTCACCTCATTCTAACTCTGTCCCTTCCCTCTGCCATTGGCCTCCCCTGCCCAACGTTGCCTGGTGCCGGGGCTCCATCGTTTGCAACAAACAACCCCACAGCGGGGCCAGATGGCTTTTAATTCGCTCTGAAGGTCCCAGCTAATTCCAGTTGTACCTTCCCTGGTCATGGGCAAATGCATGATCACTGACATTTCCTTTGTGGGATGCGGCTTTGTAGTCTGTGGGGCACCATGTGTTCTTGAAAAGTGATGGGAAATAGAACTTTGACACATGGCATCTAAGTTCCATTGATTTTAGAGATGCCTTTCCTCTTCCGAGCGGCTCATTGGAGGGGCAGTGTCTGGGGGCTGGCGGGCATCATGATCTCTGCTGAAGCTTAGGTCCGGGAAAAATCATTTACAATAATAATGGGTCAACATCAGACTGGAAAGAATGCTAGAAAGCTGTCCTGTAAGTCAGTGGACCTGGCTCTGGTCCCAGCTGTGCCAGGAATGGGCTGAGGCGAGTCCTTTCTCCTCCCCGGGCCTCAGTTTCTGCAGCCACATAAAGGGGGTGTCAAAAGTACGTCAGGGGTCAGGCAGACTTTTTCTAGAAAGGGCCGGGTGGTAAATATGTCCAGCTTTGTGGGCCACGTGGCCTCTGTTGCGGCGCCTCAACTCTGCTGTCTGCGCGGAAGCAGCCCCCGACCGTGTGTAGACGAGAGGGCACGGCTGGGTTTCAGTACACTTACTTCATTTCCAAAACTAGGTTGCGGGGGAGGGGCGTGTGTGGAAAGCAGGTGGAAGGCTGGGTTGGGCCTGTGGGCCCGTTTGTAAACCCCCAACCAGACAACCTTCGGGGCCTTCCGGCCCTGAAATACTGAGCCTGACACTGGCAGAGTCTGTCTCCTTTGTGCAGCGCAGACGGCTACCCTTGCTGCGAGCCTACTACACCCTGCGTCCTCCATTGATGAGGCAGTTTTTTGCTAGAAGTGTAACCAAAGTCACTATTGCTGGTCTCTAAACTACTGCAGAATATACCAGTTTCCTTGCATTTTAGATCAGGGAACTTGTACTCATTGCAGAACTGGTTGATTACCCTTGCCTCAAGGCACTGTGCTGGGCACTGTGTCCGTCCTTCCGGGGGCTCCAGGGAGGAGCCCTACCACCCCCCACTCTAGAGATGACATCTAGAGATGCCCCTGAGGTAAGCCTCGGGGCAGAGCCCGAGCCCCAAAGCCTGCATTACTTTCTCTACCAGGCTGCTCTGCTTTACATACAAACCTCACGCTTCAATCACCTTATGTACTCTTGATTATTTTGAGGGAATCACTGTACTTATGTGCTAATTTAGCTTTATTTTCTGTAAAGATAATACATGCATATAGTAAAAAATATAAAAAACCCAGAGGAATATAAAATGACAACATTTTCACCGTGTCCCCAAGTCCTTTGTTTCTACTCCTCACTGTTGACCAGTGTTCACTGTGAATGTTTCTTGTGCATCAAAGCGCAGCATTCCATTTTCCTGTTGTTTATTTAGCCAAGCCCTTATTTGTAGAGATTTAGGTGATTTCCAGTTTTGAGGGTTTTGTTTTCGTTGCTTTATGCAATTGCAACTAATAATTCTTAAGCGGCGGACTTAAATAGTACGTCCACTTAAAACGTTGACAGAGATTACCAAATGGCTCCCCCAAAAAGATTTTGCCAATTTGTGTCAGAGGGGTTGTTTTCCTGCATGTTTGACAATTTTGGATAATATCAAACCTCTAAATTGTGTTGGTCTGATAGAAGAAAATGTCTGATTTTTATCAGATTTCTTAAAATTATCATTGAGGATGAACAGCTTTTCATGGGTTTCTTTCCCTTCTTTTTCTGTTGATTTCCTATTCATATCCTTTGTATAGTTCTTATCTTTTGTATAGTAAAGGATATAGTTCATATCCTTTGGAGTGTTTATTGCAAATTAGCCCTTTGTATGTATGTCATTTGTGTTGCAAGTCCATCTCCAGTTGGTCTTTTGATTTTGTTTAAAGGATTTTTTTTATTAGATAGTAATTTATAATGATATAAATTTATTAGTCTTTTCCGTCATCACTTTTTGGGATTTCTGTTATGCTTAGGAAGACCTTTTCCACTTTAAAAATATTAAACATATTTGTAAATGAATTTTATCTTTTTCTATCAGGCCACACCCCTTCTAGTTGCCTGGTATCTCTTCTCAGGGTCCCCTGCCTCCCTCGTGCCCTAAACCAGCGACTGCCGTGAGGAACTCAAGGCCCTCTCTTTCTTTTAGAAGCAGATGAGAGCTGAGGAAGCAAAAATTGTTCAAGAAAAAGCTGCAAAGATCAAGGAATGGGTAACACTCAAGTTAGCAGAGGTGAGTCCCACATTCTTCCCGTGGAACCTGGAATGGACGTGCATGTGGGGGTGCCCCTGGCCCCCCGCCTTTCTCTGCTTCCTCCTATTGGAGGGGCCTTGACTGACCTTTACTTTGTTAACCATTTGTCCTTCATTCAGCTTAAACGCTGAGACCCTTTGCTTCCTTTGCTTCACTTTCCCCTTCCTCCGTCGTGGTTGGGTTTCCCTGGAGCTCCTGATTAGCTTCGTGCTGTCTGTCAGTTTGGGAAAAGAAATGAGCCTCATTTGGAAGGCAACCAATCGATGTTTCTCTCTAACATTGATACCCTTCTCTCCATGCTCCTCTCTAAAAGCGATGAAAAAATGTCCTCGGTGAGGATTACACACACACACACACACACACACAGACATTATATATAATATATAGCTTTTTTTAAGTGTAGAATTTAGTGGCATTGAGTACCTTTCACAACCATCACCACTGTCTGTTCCAGAACTCTTCAGCACCCTGAATAGAAACTCAGTATCCATGAAATACTAACTCCATTCTGTCTCCCTGCCCAACCGTGGCAACCTGTATTCTAGTCTGCTTTCTACATACTCCTTTTCTGTAGTTCATCGCTTGCTGCAGTTTTGTTTAGGAAACTCAGGGCTAGAAGCTATAGTACTACTAGCAAAACAAACAAACAGACAAACAAATCCTCTTTCTACATACAAGGAAGAGGAATTGAAGTTTGGAAAAGGATGAAGGCTCATTATTTTTTCCTCTGTGCTGGCACATGTGGCTCACACCTGTAGGGTGTATCAGCTTATTTTGCCTCCCGTCCCCTTCTGTGGGCCCACAGCTCTGGTCACCTGTTAGACCGCAAGTTCTTGGGGACAGAGCTGATGGCCTCCACATGGCACAGCCCTGACCTCTTGCTAAAAGGTGTGTTGGATTTCATTGAAAAGAAAATGTAGCAACCATGAGGATGGACCTCATAGACGTTAAGTTCAAAAGAAGCCAGACACAGAAGAACATGCTGTATAATTCCCTTTATATAAAGTTCAAAAATGGGCATGACAAATCCAGTATGTATAAGGGTTCGCACTTCGGCCGTAAAACCCGGAAAACAAGGAAGTGAGTGTAAAGTCTTGTAAACTCAGAAGAATGGTTGCCTCTGGGGAGGGAGGGACGAGCGGTTAGAAAGGGGCAAGTCCAGGGCTGTTGGGAGCGCTGGCAAGTTTCTTAACCTGGATGGTGGTCACATGAGTATTCTTTTCAGCATCATTTGTTAAGCCTTTCATTGATGTGGTATTCGGTTTTCTGTGTACGTGTATTTCACAACTTTAAAAAGCTTAAAAATGAAACTAGAGGGGGAAAAAAGTGCAGGGATTGCCACATGGAATTCTGTCCCAAACAAAACTAGGTTGCACAGACGGAGGGAGAAGGTCAGGGGCAGCGCTGTCCTTTTTCAAAGATTTGATCTTTAAGAAGGATTTTAGGCTTATTTGGAATTGTATGGCTAAACCTGTTAGCTGAGTACTCTAACCCTCCCTGTTGCCTTTCGCCTAGCTTGAGATGGAGAACCAGCAACTGAGAAGCTGTAACCAGCGCCTGGCAGAGCAGGTGAGAGCCCTTCAAGATGCTCTAGAAGGTAAGTGGGCCTGCAGGGGAGGGAGTGTGTAGGTGTGGGTGTGTTCGGTGTGTTGGGATGTATGTGCCCGTGTGTGTGGAAGGGATGTTGGGGTGTGGGGGCATGTTGGGGTGTGTGTGCGCTCATGCCAGAGTGTGTTTGGGGGTGTTGGGGTGTGGGGCTGAATAAAGGGAGCGCTTCGATGTGCATGTTTTTGCCCCAACCATAGCTCTTCAGATGGCGCCTTCAGAGAAGCTGCTGGTGGCCCGTCAGGGGACCCCGGAGCAGGATTCTGTGCCTTCAGGGCCAGGAGCCCAGCTGATGGGGCAGGACAGCAGTCCTCAGGCCCAGGATGCTCCGAAGGCGGCTCTGCCTGCACCTTCTCCAGGTTCTCTGCAGAGCAAGGACTCTAAGCCTGTCCCCAAAGTGGGAAGCCCCGGAGAGGAGCCCAGTTCCGTCATGGTCCGTCCAGGGCGGGTATCAGAGGCCAAGACCCTTCCGCCTCGTCTGGGAAGAGAGGGCTCTCCTGGCCAGCTGTCCCTGAAGACTCGCACCCCCAGACATGGTTTGGCTTCCTGGGACGAGAGCCTGGTCACTGCTCAGGGAGGGTCGCACCCTGAGACAAAGGGCCCTGCCAGGGAAGGCGGCCCCGGCTGTAGCCTGACGCTGCCGAAGGTGCGGGCTCCTGGCACCCCCCATGACAGCGTCCAGCTGGCCAAGCGGCACCACAGCCAGCCCCAGGTGGGCCCTGGGCACTTCCACCACGTGGTGAGCATTGAGATTGGGGCCGCCCCAGCCCCGCGCCCCTCTGGCCTCCCCGAGGTGGCCACCCTCGTTGAGCTCCGGGAGGAACCAGAGAAGATGGAGATGGACGAGCAACCCCCAGCCGGGGGGAAGGAGCAAAGAGAGAGCCCGAAGGCCCCAGGAGCTAAGCTGGAGGAAGTGGATTTGGGGAGCAAACCACCCACACCCCCCTTGCACCGGTTTCCATCCTGGGTAAGGGGCCACCTGGGGGCTGGGCAGAGCTGACAATGTGGCCACAGTTGGTCGTGCGCAGCCACACAGGGTGCCTGAGACCAGGCGGGCATCCTCACGGTGCCTCCGGGGGTAGGCCCCACCGCGCCTGCCCAGAGCACTCCACCATCAAGGGCAGAGCCAGGAAGGGGACGCCTGGGTGGAGGCCACCTGTCATGTCCTGAGTGTGCCACTCATCAAGCGCTGTGTGCACGTTTTCTCTTTTGATCTCCATGGCTCTTGGAGGTGGCGCAGCAGTGGTGGAATCTCAGAATTAAACCGCCGGGGTCAAATTGCTAACTCTGTGAACCTGGACAAGTTACCAAACTGCTGCACCTCTGTTTCCTTACTCGTGAAGTGGGGATAATGGTACCTCCCTAACAGGGTTGATATCTAATAAGCACTTGCAGTAGTGGGTCATAGGAAGTGGCATGTAAGTGTTGGTTGATACATTTCTGAGCCGGAGCTTCCTTACTTGTACCGTTGGATAAAATGGCATGTGGTCTGGTGAAATTGCTTCAGAATCAGTGACCTGGGGCAGGGACACCGATGAAACAAGCGGCCACCCATTCACCTCTGGGTGATGAAGTCGTACTTTATTCTGTGCTCTCCACTTCTGTGTCTGATGTTTTCCATGATAGAAAGTTAAAATGCAAAGCCGGGTGGGGCAGGGGGGCGTTAGTAAGGCTGCACGGTCTGTGGTGAGGATAAGGTGAGATAACAGATGTCGAAAGCTTCGCCCACTGCCCACCACAGAGCCTGCTGCTGGGGCAGGACTCCTTGTCCCAGGAGCTAGTTGCTGGGTTGCTGTTGTTTTTATTTGTTTTTCACAGATTAGGAGACTGTTCTCCCCCCGAGTCTTAGTTACTTGCCCAAGGTCATGGAACCTTGTAGTTAGGAGTTACTTGTAGTCAAGTAGTTAGTGAGGGGCCAATCTTTAAATATAGGCTCTGCTGCCCCCAGAGCCCAGTTCTAACTCTCCAGCTGACTTGCCTCCTGGGGGACATCGGAGAGTAGCTGTCAGCTGCTTACCCCAGGTCTGACCCCTGGATGCTGCAGAGGTGTGAGGCAGCACCGTTGGGACGGATGCCTGAGTGTCAGGCTGCCGGCCGCACGGGGAAGTGGGTCCTGGCGGTGGCACCACCCCACAGCCCTGCCTGGAAGGCCTGCCTTTTTAGCAGCACCTTCCCAGGGTCTCCTTTTGAAATGCTGTTAGTTGGGAGTGCCTTGCCACATCCTTATGCTTATGGGCCACATCCTTAGCAGTGACTGCCGCAAGGGGACCTGGATGACTCAAGACACAGCCATGCCTCGGGGGAGGGCGAGGAGGTCCCCCAGGCCAGCTGGTCTTGAGGCCAAGGATTGCTGACCTACCTGTCCCTGAAGCCCCAGGGTCACGGGAGGGCCACAGTGTGTTGCCTCCAGAGAGGAAGGGTAAGGTAGGGGGAGCAGCAGGCAGACAAGGGGTAAAGGGGCAGGTGGGACAAAGAAGGAGAGGTTTTGAAAAGGGAGGAAGGGCCAGGCCAGTGTGGAATGCCCCCCAAACCATTTCTCCTCTTGTTCATTGTTGTCTTGTAAATACAAATGCTCTGGGATCCTAGAGCAGAGGCGGGCAGTGAGGGCTCCCAGCAGGGGGCGCAGCTCCATCCAGGCCTGGAGACGGGCCCTCCTGTCGGCTGAGGGAGCCCCAGCGGCCAGGGAGCCCAACCTCCCTTCTCAGGTGAGACCAGCTGGTCAGTGACCATCTGGGGGAGAAATCAAGACTGAGAATTCCAGGAAGGATGTCTCTCCATCCAAGGGGGTCCGGTAGACTTATTTGCCAATTTAGAGTTTGCAGAGCCTTTTTCTATTGACCTTCAAAGTGACCTTAGGTGAGTTAGGTGAGTTTGACCCTAGATGACCTTTTATAAAACACTCCTGTTTGTTTAAGTGATAGTTGCTCGAATTCCTAAATGAAGGTGAATCTGACTTCCCCAAGCTCCATGCCATTCCCCTGTGAGGTGTGAGGCCTTTTCCACCACTACAGGCAGTTATAATCTTTTTTATGCCTGATTTATTAATTGATCCCAGTTCCTCTACCCCGCTCCAGCGCCCCTGCTGGGACTCCCTCACTGCCCAGTGTCCCTCACCCTGTCACCTGGGGCCCTTTCCCCAGGATCTCCTCCCACCCCCACCTCTCCCCTGCAGCTGCCCTTCCCCCATGCCTCCCCCCCCCCACCCGCCCCCAGCCAGGACCTCCTCTGGTCCTTATGAGTCACCAGTCACCTGAGGGGGCCTTTGTTGTCCTTTTATCCTGAGTGGAGAAAAATAGGCAAAAGCAAAGCATAGGCAGGGCCTGTGGGTTGCTTGGGAGCCATCAAAACCATTAGCCAAGCTCCGCAGGCCTGTAGGCGGCCTTTCAGACCCAGGGATACCCAGGGGTGAGGCCAGAGTTGAGGGTGGGCCTTCCCCACCCAGGTGCCTTGTAAAGTGGGGTTCCCGGGTCTGGGTGAGCCACACAGGTTTTGTGGGTTGGACTGAAGCCTACCCATGTCGTAACTTTACCACTGTAGAAAAAATAACGTGTCCCAGCTTCCAGACAACTGGCTTAAAAAAAGTCATACCCTCACCGTTGGGCTCTGACTTCCTCGTTGTCAACATCCCTTTTGTAGGGGTGAGAGCCTGCGACCCAAGAGCTGGAAAATGGGTCAGGTTCAGAGACACAGGTCACCGACCCCTCTGCTCTGGAACTTCCTTGCCCTAAGGGAAGGGCGGGTGTTAGGATGAGTATCTGTTGGGCACTGATTGCAGGCCAGGTGTCAGGTGTTCACATTACATAATGTCATTTCGGTGTCACAACAGCCTGAAAGGTGAGTGTTAGGGCCCCCGTTTTAGAGCTGAGGAAAGTGAGGCCTGGAAACGATGTGACTTGCCCTCAGTTCCCCCGCCAGCAAGTGGCCGGGCCTGGATGCAGACGCAGGTCTGGCACCCCCCAGAGCCACGGCTTTTCTCCACACCCGGAGGGGCTGGGGCGGGCCCTGCCAAGGGCTCTGACCCTCCTGGGACCTCTCATTCCAGGAAAGCCGCATCTACGCTGTGGCCACGTCAGGCATGCGCCTCTCCGATGTGTCTCCCAGAAGCAATGCCACCTGCTACGGTGAGTCCCAAGTGGAGTGCCCGTAAGGAGCAGGGTGGGCGTGCGGGGAGGAGAGGATTCTGAGCGGCATCCAAGGCTAGGGTCACCTGGCACTCCATCCCCTCCCCCAACAGGTCATGCTCAGATAAAATCACACAGCCAGGGCTACCTTGGAGAGAAAAGGAAGCTGTCGGGTTCAGCCCATCGCCTGCCGGGTGGGAGTGGCCTCGAACAGGGCTGTAGCTGGTTACAGAGCTGGAAGGGACGTTAGAGGAGGGGTCCCTCAGCTCAGCCTCCCACCTGCACTGGCTGCCCTTCTACAGCACAAGGCCCGTGGGTAGGAAGAGCCCCCAGTACCTCGTTAGATGAGCCCCCCGAAGGAGGCCCATCTTGCCACTGTCTCCTAAGTCACGGGCCAGCCACAGAACCCCCACAGGGAAGTGAGAGCCATGCAGTGCATGATGCTAACTCACCTTGGCGAGAAGGCCTTGGCCCCTATCCTAAGATCTGTCACCGGTCTGTCACCCTGAGTAATGTTTCAGGGAACACTTTCTGCAGCTTTCCACCTCCTCTCTCTGGCCCAGGTGCTGTTCACCGGGCTGTGGCACCAGAGTTAATCCCAGCCCTCTTCCCTGCCCCGCCAGGTTCAAGGCCTCCCATCCTTTCGTCCCCTGGGCCTTTCTCTGGCCTCGTCTACAAGAACTGCTCAGCGCCTGTCTACACCGCCCTGAAGGGGGTAAGAAGCTACTGTCCTGGGAGGAGCTGTCCCCATCCAGGGAAGCCCCTTGTCCAGTCAGTGGCTGGAGTGGGGCTCCAGTATTGGGCTTCTGCTCATATAACTCTGGGCAGGGAGTTTGGCCCTCTGTTTGCCATTTTATTTTTCTTATTTATCTTTAGCAGCCTTTTAGTAGAAAAATCCTACATTTACAAGAATTTGAATCAATATGATTGTGGACAAAGTAAAAAGTTAAAGGTTAAACCCATACCTGCTCCACCTGTCCCCCCCGCCCCGATCTTGTCACAGGCATGTCCCATAGGGCACTGGGGCTCTTTCTGAAATTTTTTATGTGTGTTCACACGTATACTCCCATAGACACTCCTGTAACATCCCTATATTTTTTAAAACAAAAATCAGACATAAATGCAACATATTTTTACATACATTTTTGTCATCCTTTATTACTAGTTTTTGAAGTCATACTTTGTAAACACTTTTTATAGAAGAATAAAACGCCGAAAGTAAAGTTGCCTGTCACATTACCTTCCCGAATTCCTCGCCCCAGAGGCAGCTGTCATCACCACTTGGGTGTTTACTCGGGGAGGCCCCCTGCTACGTTGACAAGTGCGTTTGCAAACACGCTGTTGCTCTCTCACTCGCTCCCACATGCACACGCACGCAGGGCATCACATTGCACAAGTCGTTCTGCGCCTGCTCGTTCACCCAGCCACATGCCAGGCCGTCCTCCCTGTTTAGGGCTGTCCAGCCCCCTCGTTGAGATGCCCCGGAACTACCTGGCCCGGCCCTGCGCTGGCTGACAGTGTAGGCCGTGTCTCTGTTGTTCTCTAAAATAAATGGTATGATGAATATCATTGTGCAAATACATCTCTGTGCACTTATAGATACATATTTCTGTAGGGCCGAGTTCTAGAAGTGGGCTTTATGGGCACACGATATGCATGTTTTAAATTTTGACAGGCGGTGCCAAATTCTCGTCTAAAAAAAAAAACTTTATCACACTACAGAGTAGCCTTGTCTTGACAATTTCACTAACATTGAGAGAATCAGACTTTCTCTTTTTAAAGATTTTATTTATTTTTAGAGAGAGGGGAATGGAGGGAGAAAGAGAGGGAGAGAAACATCAATGTGTGGGGGATACATCAGTCAGTTGCCTCCCACACGCCCCCAGCCTGAGACCTGGCGTGCAACCCAGGCCTGTGCTCTGACTGGGGATCGGACCTGCGATCCTAACCCACTGAGCCACACCAGCCAGAGCAAGATAACCAGACTTTCAAACTGTCTGTCAATCGAGATGATATCTTGTTTCCTTGCCCCCACACAGTTTTAAAGCTCCTGTCTCACACTGGGGCCATGGTGTAGCTTTCTGGCCCCCTAGTGGCGGGGAGGAGGGGCCACCGCAGTCAGGTGTTCCGAGGGGACGGGGCAGCTCCTTCAGGGGCCACCCCGTCAGCCCCAGGGGAGCCTTGGGTTGGGACGCAGGAGTAAGGCCAGGAAGGGACAGCGGTCTGTTGGGTGGCCTGGCCAGGTGATGGTGTCCACGTGCCCCAGGTGGGCTACGTTGGCCGCACCCTGAGCCCTGGAGCTGGAGGGCAGTGCTGCTGAGGTGGACCTGCCGTGCAGCCTGAGCCACAGTGGGAAGGCGGGTCTGTCTTGCAGAGAGCCACGCAGATCAGCAGCGTGCCCTTTGTGGACGAGTCCTCCGGGTCTGACGATGACTGCAGCTCGCAGGCGAGTTTCCGAACTTCGGTCCCCTGCTCGGAGCCCAGGAAGACCAGTGGACTGGGCAGCCCCCGCGCTATCAAGAGAGGTGTGGAGAAGGGGAGCGGGGGGTAAGGGGCGGCAAGAGGCCCCTCACCTCCTCATGGACGGTCACATATGGGACCCCTGCTCAATCTCTACCCATCACCCTCAGCCCCAACTCGGGGGTCCCAGGTGGGTGAGGAACTGGGGGAGGCACGGGACACAGGCCCTGAATCCTCCCTCTTGGCCAGGTGTCTCCATGTCCTCTCTGAGCTCCGAGGGCGACTACGCTATCCCCCCAGATGCCTGCTCCCTGGACAGCGACTACTCAGAGCCTGAGCACAAACTGCAGCGCACCTCGTCCTACTCCACCGATGGGCCCACCCTGGGCGGGGTGAGTGGGAGGAGCTGAGGTGGGGCGGATGGGAGCTGCCTGCCCAGGCCCTCAGCACAGGACACAGACAGCTTTCATGAGAGGAGGGGTCTGTGCAATGGGGGAAGGGAGGGGGGAGGGGGCGGGGGTGGCCACTGATGTGAGGCAATGGGGGTTGGGCTGGAGGGTGCAGCTATGGCATCAGGCACACACAGACCCCATGAGGAGGAGAGGAAGCCTGCTGAGCTCCTTATCAAACCAGGAACGGCCGTTCGAAAACCCGCTGGCCCTTAGAAAGCCCACCGTGGCTCACCGAGCCCCAGGGCATTACACAGGGACCTCATTTAGCTCCGCTGACCCTGGCGTGCTGGGACCCAACCTTTATGGAGTCCTTCCAGTGTGCCAGGCACCGGGCTCCGTGCTCTCCATGTACTGTCACATTTGTCCTCACAGTCCTTTCAGGATTATCACCCCGTTTTGTGGACAGGGAGCCTGAGGCTCAGAGACGCGCTCTCACACGCGGGAGCCAGCAGTGAAGCCAGGCCTCGGCCCCGGCCCTCGCTGCACAGCGCCATGCAGCCCGAGCCCTCCGCCCCAGCCTGGCTGATGGGCCCGCTGTTCCCCAGCCCTCTCCCTTCCCGGCGGCCTTCGTGGCCGCGCCTCCTGGCCAGCCCCTCCCTCGTGCAGCCCCTGCCCTGCCTTTTGCTCACGGTCAGGTGTGTCCCCAGCCAACAGGACCCTCCCACACCCATGCTTTATGTAATCCTCTCTGAACCCTTAGCAAGACTTGGTGCCCTGACAGTGCACACAGTAGGTACTCAGTTTTTTTCTGATGACAAAGCAGTGACTGCGCGGGGCCATTTTGGCCTGTGTGGCGTCCAGGAACCTCAGGGGCTCCCCCTGTCTGTTCACCCTTCTCCCCCTCTGCCCCCTTCTACGCTTGCAGGAGGCACTGGAGAAGTCGGGCTACCTGCTGAAAATGGGGAGCCGGGTGAAGACGTGGAAGAGGCGCTGGTTTGTCCTGAGACAGGGACAGATTTTGTACTACAAGTCCCCGGTGAGACCCTCCTAGGACCCCCAGAACTATCGTCTGAAGGACCCCACCCCAGCCCCAGCACTGTCGGGGAGGGGTCGGAAGGGGGTCGGCGTGGCCCATGGTCAGAGGGCAGAGGTCTGGCAGGTGGGGAGAGGCTTTGAACCACACACAGACTGTGAGGCTGGTCACTGGTTCTCACTGTGAGATCAGGCACTGAGCAGGCAAAGGCAGTTCTAGACGAGTTGGCTTGGAGATTCCTTCTTCCTTCAGAAGCCAAGTTCTTCTTTTGCCTGGTTCTGTAAAATGTTCTAAAAGGTGACCCACTGCCTCCTCCCCATCCTTCCTACACTGTTCAGAATTAGGGAGCCTTGGATGTTGGGACCTACCTTGACAGGCCCTCCCTGGTCAGTTACTAATGTTAATGATTTAAAGAGGGGGAAAAGACCTTGTCTCTTGTGCAAATCTAGTTGATTGTCAGTGGCTGTCTCAAACGCTTTGTTAAGGATTTCGGGCCTTTATTGCCCAATAGGCAGACATGCTCTGTGTGATTAGTAACGTCTGCAGAAGCACTTGAAGTGGGAATGGTGATACATATGTCACTTATTTGCCACATTTGATTTAAAGGATGTAGTAGAAAGAGTTGAATGGCTATATAGCTTAGTAATAACTTGATGGCTTCTGACCCAATTTTGAAGGCTCAGTCTAAAAAGGACACAATCTTAACCCTTTGCAACAGCACGGATGGACCTAGAGGGTATTACACTAAGTGAAATAAGTCAGCCAGGGAAAGAAAAATACCATGTGATTTTACTTATATGTAGAATCTAAAGGACAATATGAACACAACAGAAACCATCTTATAAATACAGAGAACAGGCTGATGGTTACCGGAAGGGGGGGTTTGGGGGCTGTGTGAGAGGGTGGAGGGACCGAGAAGTACAGACGGGTAGTTACAAAGTCATCCTGGGGGTGTGCAGTACAGCACAGGGAACGTAGTCAGTCAAATCGTTCACGCACAGCTACGTACTGAAAATACCCAGGGGAACACAGTCAGGTACTGGAAATATTCAGGGGAACACTTCGTGAAGTGGATGATTGTCTACCCACCATGCTGTACACCTGAAACTAATACAAAATAATACTGACTGTAAACTGGGTCAGAGGGACCCGTGTTTAATCATGCTCCATTTAGCTAGAACCAGGACGCAGAACAAGTTACCCATCATACAGAGCCCAGGAAAACTTTCTCCGATAACCTGGAACAAGATCATTCCCTTCTTTACAGAGTGATGTCATCCGGAAACCTCAAGGTCAAGTGGAACTGAACTCCCATTGCCAAATTGTTCGAGGGGAGGGTGCACAGACATTCCAGGTGAGGATGGCCCCAGCAGCTAAGATTTTAGACAGAAGAGGTGCAGGGTTTGGATAGGGCTGCGATGGAGACAAGGACGGGGCAAAACGGGTATGAGTGAAAGACAGTACATCGCCATTTGGGTGTGATCCTGATTTGGGAGTTCAAGGAAGAGGACAAAGAATGTGAGAGAGAGCGAAGGCAGGAGAGACAGAACAAGATGAGGAAGAAAAGAAGGGGCGCATACCAGGGGTTTGTGCCACCTCAGAGCCAGGTTTCTGGAACTCTCTCCTGTCTCTGGCCCCACCCCCATCCCTCACTCCTGCACAGCTCATCTCTGAGAAGAAAACCTATTACCTGACGGCCGACTCGCCCAACCTGCTGGAGGAGTGGATCCGAGCCCTGCAGAGCCTGCTGAAGGTCCAGGCCATTGGGCCCCCAGCCCTGTCGCAGGGGGGCGCCAAGCCCACCGTGAAGGGCTGGCTGACCAAGGTATGGCTGGGGCTGAGGGGGGAGAACTGTGGGCCTCCTGAGAGCCAGGGGCGCCAGGAGAGCCAGGAGCGGGAGTGCCGGGGCACGGGGTCCCCTCTTTATGTATAGCTCCTTCCTCCAGGGATTTCCTCAGGGGGTTAGCTGGCTGGTCTCAAACACGGTCTCTCCATACAGGGGATAGTGATTGATTCCCTGGAAACGGGGGTCAGGGTTGTTGGAACAACTGCTGTTCTCATGACAGAGGAAGGAAAGAACTGTCTGTCCTTCCTATTTTGAGGTCATTAGGGGTGTCCCCCCTCCCCAGCCGACCTATACCCACCAGTATGAATAGGAGCTGTGACCTAAGCGAGGTAGGTGCAGCCACTCAACTTATAATATCCCAGGCCTGCCCTAAAGGCGTCTTAGTTAGGGCTCTTCTGGCTGCAAGGAGCCGAGAGGCACACGTCAACCCCAAGACAAAGGAAAGCTAGCAAGGAAGCACAGCCCCCAGGGCCGAATGCCGGCAAGGAGCAGGCGAGGAGCGGAGTGGCTTGCAGGAGCAAGCTCAGGGCCGGCAGGCTCTCTCACTCTGCCTCCGCATTCAGTGTCCTCACCGTGCAGCTGCGTTTCTCGCACGGCGCACACTTGCCTTCCGTGGCCCCTCTGTCCCTCCCAGCGTCCTTACAACTCCAGCTCTGCCAACCAGCACGTTCTTCCCGTGTTCACAGTACTGGGAACCAGGCCATCTGATTGGCCTGGTTAATGTTTTAATGGCAGGACACACAAGGATGGGTGGGATGTCACATGGCACACACCGTGGCCCCTTGCTGCAAAAGGGCTGGTTCCATTAGTAAGGAGTCTTGAGTGGCACCTCCACTAAGGACCTGAGTTTGGCCAGCGGTTTGACACCTGCCTCCCTGTGGCTTCTCTTTGCCGGTCCTGGATTTACTTCCAGGGTCACCTGGCTCTAGCAACGCTGGCTCATTTCTGACTTCCAGGTGAAGCATGGCCACTCCAAGCTGGTGTGGTGTGCTCTTGTTGGGAGAACCTTCTACTACTATCGGAGCCATGAGGACAAGGTACTTCCCGGCCTCCCGACAGCACCTGCTCTCTCTTCCCCCACACCCCACCCCTGTGGCTCCACGCCCCGACGAAAGTCCCCAGCTTGCCCCTCTACCCTGGCTAACCCCACGGCAAGTACACAGCCAGCTGGCTGCTCCCTGCAGAGTGCACGGCCCACACACACTCCGTGGGGTCTGACTGCCCCTCCCCAAGCAGGCCTCAGCCGGGGCCTCTCCCCGCCTCATCCTGTCGTCTGTCCACACCCACGATTCCCAGCCCTACAGGGCCTCAGGGTGCCGAGAGAGGAGACTCTCCGTCCCTTGCTGGCCCTCCTGCTCACGGAAGGCTCACGTCCACAGCGACCCCTGGGCCACCTGCCTGTGCAGGATGCGCACATAGAGGAAGTCGATCGGTCCTGTGACTCAGACGAGGACTACGAGGCCGGAGGAACCCGGCGGTTGCTTTCCTCCCACTGCACCCTGGTGATCCACCCGCCGGAGCACAGCCCCACCTACCTCCTCATTGGCACCAAGCATGAAAAGGTAAGGGAGGGGCTGGGCCCCCATGGCTGCGCTTGGATCTGTGATTCCCATCCCCGCTTCTCTCTTTCTCCCGATCTTCCACGTTCATATTTATTTCCCTCCTGGACATTTTGGCAACTAGGATTCCCTGATTACAAGCATTCCTTACACTGAACTTACTCCCAGTGACCGTCTCTTCACTGAGGTAGAACCACAAGCTTAGAAACTTGGGCTGGTGTTCACCTGATCCCAAGTCCTTCCTCCTAGAGACCGGTGGCCTTGACTTGTGCGTGCCAAACCAGCTGACCCACCCCCGGGCTTCCCCTTCGAGGAAGCCTCCTGGGAGATCTTTCTTCCACCTTCCACCCCTCTAGCCCCATCGGATGACTTTCTGTCCTCTTCCAGGATACGTGGCTTTATCATCTCACAGTGGCCGCAGGGGGCAGCAGTGCCAAGGTGGGGACTGCCTATGAGCAGCTCATCGGCAAACTGATGGATGGCGAGGGAGACCCAGGTAAAGCAAGGGTGGCTGTCGTGGCCTGGGTTGGAGGCTGGTGGCTGGGTGGTTTGTCGTCAAGAACCCAGAGAAAGCACTGCTCTACCCTGTTGTTGTTTTAAGACCACCTGGGCCACAGAAGGGCATTCCCATCCCAAGCTCCAGGGTCTCTGGCGAAGATACTAAGGTGACCCCTCTGTATCTGGGGGAGTTTTTCTGGGAGGCAGACCTTCCAGGGACCTGGGTCAATGTTTTACTTTGTTCAACCTGCAGCTTTGCTGGCTGGGAAGAAGACTGAGGAAAGGAGGTAGCTGGTTAATCTGTAGTTAGAGCTGTTAATCAGTACGTGACGCCTAACCCAAACCTGGGGTACCTTGGGGTCTGTGTCTTGCTACCGACTTTTACGAGCCGGAGGCACTGACAGCACCTACCACACACACCCGTTGACCGCAGCGCTGCAGCTTGTTCATTTCAGGCTGATGCACACCCTTCCGTCCAGACCCGGCCCTGCAGGGAGGGGGCCTGCCCTGCACACACACGTGCCTGCACTCAGATGCTCACACCTCGCACACTTGCCCCTGTTGCAGCCCCGCAAGCAAAGTCGTAGCTGCCTTCCTGAAAGCAGTGCTTTTCAGTGTGCTCGGTGCAGTGCACTATGGTGCGCCCAGAGTCTCGATACGGACCCAGCACAGCCCGCCTGCCCAACAGTTGAACCCTTGTCTTCCCCACAGATCAGAGTGGGGGTGGGGCGGGAAGCAGTTCCCTGACCGGTGGTAACTGCTGCTGCTCTCCCCTGCTGTGCTTCGGGCAGATTCCCCCGTCTGGAGACACCCCATGCTGTGCTACAGCAAAGACGGGCTGTACACTTCCCTCACCACCCTGCCCTCCGAGGCCCTGCAGACGGAGGCCCTCAAACTCTTCAAGGTAAAGGGGGAGCGGAGCCCAGTGCCTGGTGGTGGGTGCCCAGGCTCTGCCCCAAGCGGCTTTGCCCCTTCTTGGGTGGAGGAGGCCTGTGCAGTTAGGGGGTGACCCGCAGTGCGATTGGAAGAGGAAGGAAAAGAGTCCCACAGGGTCCCCGCCATGTCCTGTGGGCCAGGGAGGCCGGAAAGCCCTGGGGCTGCGTTCACGAGCCCTGGGGAAGCACCTGTGACACTCACAGGAAGCCGGAGGAGCGCCCCACCTCCTGCAGTGACCAGCAGGAAAGGACAGGTTTATGTTGTTTCTGGCCCTAAGAGATTCCGACCTATTTTAGAATGTTCTTTGTGCCTGTCTGAATAGTCCGCCTTTTAAAAAAGTTAATGTCTTGCTTACGTAATAGAAACACTTAAAGAAGGAAGGTTTCTATTCCTAAGTAGCCTTCTCAGCAAGCAAGATGCTCTCAAGCAGTGACCGTGCTCCCCCTTAGAAACATTCTCTGCAGTGAACTGGAGCCCCCCTGAGCCCTTCTGGGGGGACGACCCAGTCTGTACTGTCAGAGAGGATGATGACCGGGGGCTGTTGGGCTGCCTGTGCCCACTGTCGTTTCCCTGCCAGTCCTGCCAGCTCTTCATCACTGTGCCTGTGGAAGCCGCCTCGGTGGACTACCATGTGTCCCTGGCCCAGAGGGCCCTGCAGGTCTGCCTGGTTCACCCTGAGCTGCAGAGTGAGATCTACTGCCAGCTCATGAAGCAGGCCAGCTGCCGCCCACCTCAGAAGCACTCGCTCACGCAGGTGGGTGCTTCCAGGGTGACCAGCTGGCAGGAGCCATTGGCGAGGGCTGCCCGGGAGGTGGGAACCGGGAGGAGGCGGTGCGGCGGGCAGCCTCGGCACCCACACCTGCCTCAGCGCAGCTGCCCTCTCTCTGCCCCTTCCGCCTGTCTGCCGGGTGATTGCTGTTCCGGGCAAAGCCTGACCAACTTGGCTGTCCCAGTACCCGGAGAAGGTGGGGGCTCTGGTTGGCAGAGTGCCGAAGGCTCTGTAGCTCAGAACCAAGAGGGCTGGGGACACTGCTGACCCAGCACTCACCCCCTGCTGCCGGTTCCCCTGCAGTGCTGGCAGCTCCTGGCTCTTTGCGCCCCGCTTTTCCTGCCTCAGCACCACTTCCTCTGGTACATCAAACAGCAGCTCCAGCGCCACGCAGACCCCAGGTGAGCGAGCGCCATTTCCTCTGCTGCTTCATCCCTCCCGACGGTGGCACGATTGGGGTGGATCAGGTCACCCCCACGCTCTGAGGTTTGCTCAGTGCTCGTGGAGACGTCACCTGTTGCAGTATACACAGATGGGCGCGTGGAGACCTGGGCATGCCTGGGCCTCTCTGCACACCAGTTCACGTATGCGTGGATGTTTTGGGGGGGCTCATTGCCGCCAGCTTATTCCCACATTTTCATTCTCTGTTGCCTTGTTCGTATAGGCCCTGAGTGGCAAGTCGTCAGGGCTTTCTTCGCAGCCTGCCCCCGCTGCCGACTTGGTCCTGGCCAGGTCTGGGCTGGGGGCTGGGCTGCCAAAGTGGCCGGGAGGAGTGCATTCCCTAGTGGTCCCTTCTTCCTCCGCCTGTCTTTTCAGCAATGAAACTGGCCAGTATGCCACCTACTGCCAACGGGCAGTGGCGCGGACCCTGCAGACGGGGGAGCGGGAGGCCAGGCCATCACGCATGGAAGTGGTGTCCATCCTGCTGCGGAACCCCTTCCACCACTCCCTGCCCTTCAGCATCCCCGTGCACTTCGCCAATGGGACCTACCAGGTGAGGGGCGGGCGTGTGCCCTTTCCTCAGGCTTCTCCCGTCCCTGTCTCAGTGGGAGTACCTTAGGGCCAGGGGTCACCAAGCCTCCTTAGGACCAGCAAATCCTTAACAGGCAAACCAGCAAAAGAAAGGACCTGGGGCTCGGGTGGGCGTGGGGTGGTTAGTGCCCGTGTGGCAGGGGAAAGGAGCACGAATCGCCAAAGCGCCCCACTATTTGATGTCCTGGAAGCAGATCTTCTGAACCAGTCGTATGAACAGGGAAGCTGAGACAGTGACCAAAAAAGTGGCATGGAAGGGCCTCCCAAAAACGGGCAGTAGAGGAGAAACAGCGCTTATGTCCAATTCCAGTTTCCAGTGGGCGGGCTCACGCCTTAAGCATGCGCCCTCTGCATGTGAATACAGAATGGAGTGCTTCTTTGGCTCTCGCATTTGCCCTTGCTCCTTTCAGCCAAGTCTTTCCACCTGTGGACGCAGACCCATCCACCCCCCCCCCGCCCCCCGCCGCCTCCCTGCCACCAGCCCTAGTGAGCCTCTGTCAGGGAGCCCCGTCTGGGACTAACGCCTCTCCCCGGCAGGTGGTTGGTTTCGACGGCTCCTCCACCGTTGATGAGTTCCTCCAGCGGCTGAACCAGGAGACAGGCATGAGGAAGTCATCCCGCTCTGGCTTTGCCCTCTTCACAGACGATCCTTCTGGCAGGGACCTGGAACACTGCCTGCAGGGGAGTGTCAAGGTGACGGCCCCCCGCTAGGCCGGCTGAGCCCCTCCTGAGCCCCAGGGTTTTGGTGGTGGGGAAAAGTCTGTCTGATGGGTACCTCCCTGCTTCACAGCCTGTTTGGTGTTGAGCCCAACGTGCTCCCCCCATTTCTATGCCATGAAAAGTCATTTATGCCCTTGTCTCTGGAGAGAAGGTCTCTGTACCCCCTCTCCCTTGAGTGGCTGTGCGGCATCCCGGGGGAAGGCTGCTTCCCAGCCAGCGCAGGAAGGACAGGGAGACACTTCTCAGCAGCAGCCCCAGCCGAGCCTGCTAGTTACACACACACGGGAGCGCACACATGTGCACGTGGGTGGATAGCTGTCTGCCTAGACCCACTGGATGTGGTGTCCTGAGCTGGCAGTTCATTCATACCCTATCTGCCAGGGCCTGTGCTATGCCTACAGTTTCAACCAGAGTTTTAGGAAGTAGATCCTTACGGTAATTCTGTACTAAAGGCCCTTGAATGGGATTGAGGATCTATCTTGTACTGTGGTCTGAAACCAGTGCCATAGCGCATGGTAAGTGTTTGTGGGGATGTGCTGTAGCACTTTGATGAGCTGAGCATTTGGGTCCAGTGCCCGCATCCTTTATGGCAGCAGGACAGAGGCTTCTGTAGTTATTTACCATTGCCTGGACGCACCGTACCTCCCACCTTCTTTGTAAACATGGAGGCGTCTGTGAGGCTTTGTTACCCAGGAGGTCTCTGGGTGTATTTGCTGAAGAGGAGAGTGGCAGTCAGTGGGAAGGAATTAGAGCTGGTGATAGGAGGACATGGTTTCTGAGTGGGACCTGCTTTGCCTCTGTGGGGGCCCCCTCAGGTGTTAAAGCCAAGACGGTGGTGTTGCTGTGCGTTGCCACCCACGCCACACCCAGGCTCCACCTCTGTCTGTGAGGAGGTTGCAGGCACCCGGGGTCCTGGGAATGGGAGCATGAGGCCCCGCAGGCCGTCGTCGTCCCCGCCCCGTGGAGGACAGTCACTCAGCTTGACCCTGCTGCCCTGCCAGAATCCAGCCCTGCCCGGACCCTGTCCCCTCATCAGGCACTTTTCTGACTTGCCTCTTTTGCCTCCTCAAGATCTGCGATGCCATCTCCAAGTGGGAACAGGCCCTGAAGGAGCTGCACTCCGGGAAGTCTGAGGGTGGCACTCGAGTCGTGAAGCTGATGTACAAGAACAGGTCCTGGGCCCTGCCCAAGGGGTGGACCGAGCCTGAGGGCTGCCACGGGGGTGCCAGGCAGGAGGCCCATGGAGAGAACACCACGTGGTGTCCACTGGCCTCGCGGACCTCTCGCGGGCTCTGTCCCGCCACTGTGTGCACACGTGCACGCACACCAAGAACACAGACCGACCTCATAAGATGGCTGCGTGCGTTATCTTAAGAGAGTGAAATTTTATACAAGCACTAGATATTTAAGGCTCAAAATAAATTGCTCCTATACCAATTCCAGGGAATACAGAAGTAGACATCCTGGCTTTTTACCAATTTAAATAAGAAAATTCCATCCCAGATATGTCTCCAGGCAAATAACTTCCATTAGTCTCTTGGATTCTTAATTCATCCAGTTTCCTAATGAGCTATGATTCCTAGTACCAGATTCTCTTCACCGGACCCAGTAAATCTAATCACATGCCCATAATTAACCACATGTGACCATTGCTGAGATCTGATAGCCCTGTGTCTACTCTGTGTTGTGCTTGCTTACATTTTTTAGAGGCAATAGAAAATAGGTTCACAAATGGTAGAAAAAGAGTCATTTCTTTCTTTGCAAATCAAGATAAATGGATGCCAGGATGACCTCATCCTTTTGGGATCCCCACTGACTTGGCTTCTCACTCTTCCCTGTAGGCTGTACTTTCGGAGCCAAGTCAAAGGGGAGACGGACCGAGAACGTCTGCTGCTTGCCTTCCAAACCAGTGGCGAGATCGTGGCAGGCAGGTTTCCTGTCAACAAGGAACTGGCTCTGGAGATGGCCGCCCTAATGGCCCAGGTGAGGTTCTGTTCTGGGATCAGGAGGGTCAGGATAGCATCCTCGGACTCAGAGGTGGAAGGTACCGCACAGCCTGAAACAGGAGATTCTGCAGATCCCATGGTGCCAGGGGAGAGGGGGCCTTGCTGTCCCTGGCCGTGCGGAGACACCGACTCCTTACGCAGCGCGGGCCCTCGCTGCGGTGCAGGCTGCATGCAGAGCTCTGGACGTAGGATCCAGAGGCCTGAGCTTGAGTCCAATCACTTCTCTGCTATGAGATCTCGACCACGTCACTTGACTTGTCTGGGCTTTAGTTTCCATTTTTGTAGACTGAAAGCAAAAATACCTCCCCATGCCTACCCCCGCAGGGTTGATAAACTAAGTATGATTCTTAAATAGCGCATATCCCATAATGTATGTGATAAAAGTTCTACTAAAAGCTGTCAAGCATTTTAACTAGAATTAGAAAAAGGAACACACATTCAGACTTTGACTTTTCTCCCCATTACCTCTAGGATACCCTCTTGCCAAAGGTATCTGGGATATCTGCGTTCCCACAGACCTACCTGCTGGAAAGGAAGGGGAAATAGAATAGCTGATCTTTAATATAATAGACACTTATTGAATACTCCATAGAGGGCCCTGTGCTAAATATTCTATGTGTATTTAGTTCTCGTCCCCAAGATAAGGATATTGAAGCTCAGAGAGTGTAAGTAGCTTGACCAGGTTACAAAGCTGGTAAGTGGCAGAGCTGGGATTTAAGCCAGGTGTCTGACTCCAAAGACCACATTTGGAACGCTCTGCTCTACATTAAGTCAGTCCTCACTTAATGCCAGCAACCGGTTCTGCGACTTCAAGCAAAATTACCTTGTCAACATTGTAATGAAATGACATTGAACATAACAGCATTATTCGAGGACCTGCTATACTCTGGGAGCTGTGGCATCTTCAATCCTGTATCCATATTTTCGGGTTGGAAGCCAAAATATCTTTGTTGTTTTCCCTTGTCTGCCACTAATGAATCGTGTCTTTGGATAAGGCACTTAATCTTGGCTGGAAATGACAGTTGGTCCAGATAATCTCTTACTAGAGACCCTTCTAGGACCCTGGAGTTGTTTCTCTAGCATCTGTGAAGCTGGAGATAAAGAGTCTGTTCACAAGAAATGTTTTTTCACATCCATTCACACCTCACCCATAAAGTTATGAAGTAATGATTTATTTCACCTCTCAACTGCCCACCCCAGCCTGAAACACCCCCCCATCTCAACCCCACCACATCCAGATTCCTGACTTTTGCCTCCCTGCGCTTCTATCACAGGTAGAGTTCGGGGACTTTGAGAGGCCCCTCCCACCAGGCCCGGGGGGCACACCCCCTTCCAAGGCTCAGCATCACCTACAGCAGGTCCTAGACAGGTTCTACCCAAGGCGCTACAGACACGGAGCAGCCCCTGAGCAGCTGAGGTGGGCTACGGGGTCTTGTGGGGAGTCTGGGGGAGACGCCGGTGCAGAGTTGGGGAGGTCTTAGAGCTGCCACAAGAACGCGTTGGCGCTTCACTGGCACCGTGTCTCCCTGTCTGTCCCATCCAGGCACCTAGTAGATCAGCTGACCACAAAGTGGGCCGCACTGCAAGGCTGCTCCCCTCCTGAGTGCATTCGCATCTACCTGACGGTGGCCCGGAAATGGCCCTTCTTTGGTGCTAAGCTCTTTGCTGCTCAGGTAAGTGCAGGTGGTTTCCAGTGGAAGGAGTGAGTGGTGACCACACTGAGGATTGCCCTGTTTGTCCTGGAGCCGCTGTCTTATCTGGCCATTCGGGTCCAGTCTGCAGCACCAGCCCACAAACCAGCAACCACCAGAGGTCACTATCTCTCCACCCATGTCTAGCCTACTCTGCATTTCCATGGTCCAGAACAGTTGTGCTTCATTCATTCATTGCTTTCAGGCCAGGATTATTTCTAGGTGACCCTTGTCTTTCCTTTATTGACTTCTTTCTCAATGCTTCCCCAGCAAAAAAAGATAGGATTAACTAGTCATAAGGGCAAATAACAGCGGGCTCCACTTGGTCTGGAAAGTTGGGGAAAAGTTCTGAGAAGGGTGACACATCTACCTCCCCAGCCCTTCAGGTAGGAGAGGGGAAACCTGGATGGCTCTCCTGCAGCCCTGGCCATGCACAATAGTCATTCCAGGAATTGCCCATTAAATAGTCACTTTTCTTACTGGTGGGGTCTAAAGCCTGTAAGATTTCATCCTTGCTTTCCTATTTCCTTTACAGTCCCTAGGAAATGGAGCAAAGCAAGATGCTCTTCATCGGGGGAAACTGGGGGTAGAATGCTGTCAGTCTCTGAGAGCTAGGAGGAAACAGCCTGTCCTCCACGCCCACGGCAGAGCAGCCAGGGGCGCTCTGTTCTGTAGCACGGAGCTCCCCAGCCAGCGTGCTGTGGCAGGATAGGCTGAAGGTACTCTGAGAAAGTGACCCCTCCCACCCTGGGATTGTTTGTAGGTAGCAGAGCCCCAAGGCCAGATGCCTCCTGTAGAGATAGCATCTTTCATGTTTTCAGAGGCGAGGAGAAGGTTGGAAATCACTGCCCAGCAGATCCTGCACGTGTCCTCTTCTTCATAAAGCTTTCACAGTTCAGAATCCCTAGTTGTGGATGTGTCTGATGGGATTTTTCCTGTTTCCCCAGCCTTCCAAGGAGAACACGCTGGTGTGGATTGCTGTGAACGAGGATGGCGTCAGCATCCTGGACCACAACACTATGGTGAGGGCTGGCTCCCTGACCCCCTCCTTCTAAATAGCCTTTCATTCTCTCTGGACTCCTCGGCCTGAGTTAGGTGACCATGGTCCTCCTGCCCCTGCCCGCAACCCAAGCACTGCTGTTCTCCAGTCTGAACACAGCTTGTGGACATTGAAGATGGGGATCTACAGATTATGACCGCGTCAGAGTTCCCCCTTCCTGGTTAAGGCTACCTGTGCTTAGAAAAGACAGGGGGTGCTAGTTCCTAGCTCAGGAGACAGATGGAAAGTTTCCCTAGAACTCACTGGCTCTTTCCTACAGCAAGTGCACGTCACTTACCCCTACTCTTCAGTGATGACCTTTGGTGGCTGCCGTGATGACTTCATGCTTGTGATTAGATCCATTCCAGACCAGAGCTCTGGAAAAGGCCACATTGAGAAGTTGATCTTCCGGATGGCCACTTCCAAGGTGGGTCTGAGAGCTACTAAAATATTTTACTTTAATGTGATAGAAAGATAGGGGCTTGAGCCCTCGCCAGGTGGCTCAGTTGGTTGGAGCATCACCCCACACACCAGAAGGCTGAGGGTGTGATCCCTGGCCAGGGCACATAGCTAGGTTGTGCGGGTTCAGTCCCCAGTTGGGCTGTGTATGGGAGGCAACCTATGGATGTTTCCCTCTCACATGTGTTTTTCTCTCTCTCTCATTTCTCCCCTCTCCCCTCTCTAAAAGCAATAAAAATATACCCTCGGGTGAGAATTGAAAATAAAAAAAGGAAGTGGGTATGGAATTTCGAAAGGAAGCTGGAGTTATGACAATATTCTAGAAGAGCCCTGTCCCAAATAAAACTTTTGTCCTTGTCTATAGTGAACACTCCAAAGGTTCCGGTGGAGTTGCCCCTCAGTAGTCACTGATGAGCTGGTAGGCGAGGGGCTGGCCAGCGAGGCCCGTGCAGGCCTGCGTCGGGTGCGCACGTGCTCTTCACCTTTGCAGCAAGCCCAGGGCCAGGCAGCTGCCTCCGTCAGATGTGCTCACCTGAAGCCTCATTCTGGATGAAAATAGGCACTGTTTTTGTACACGGTGTCCAGAAATTGTTAATGTGGCTACACTGAGACACAGGTTATACTGCCACCACAGTAATTTTATTACAGTGGTGACAATGAGACCTGTGACAATTTTTTTTTTTTTTAAAGAAATCTTCTCACCTTATCCTGTCCCAGACTAGTCACAAAGTGAAACAATCTGCACATGTGCCCCTCTCCTTCAGGTCCACAGACCTCTTTTGCCTCAAGGGCTTTATTCTCACTTAGTATAGGAAATGTTGGCCAGCAAAAATAAGAATTGCAGAGGCTCAGACACCTAAGTCCTGACTTACAATTCCTGACCCCCTTCTGAGGGTAACTAGAAACCCTGTTGTTTTAATCCTAAAATTGGAGTTTGCCAAATCTCCTCCTTTTAATAACTTCCCTGCCAAAGGAGAGGCTATACAGACGCTGTCCTACGGGGAGGCCCCCTCCCCTGGTTTGGAGCTACCGGGAGCAGGATGTTGCCTCGCTTGTTCTCAGGAGGGGACTGTGCAGCTCAGAGGACCTCCAGAACAATAGGCACCCATTTCCCTGGGCCCCGGAAGCTCACAGTAATGACTCCCTTGGATGTTTTCTCCCAGGTAAAGCCCAGGAAGGTTATGTACCATGTTTAACTTCTAGTGAGAAAGCCAGTATTCGAGCCAAGCCTAGTTCAATTGTTTCTCCATTGTCTCCTTAGATTGCAGAGGCTACTTTCATCACGGCCAGCTACATGAACCATTGCTCCGCAACTGTGAACCCACCCACCAACCCACCTGCTACCCACCAGCCGTGGCAACTGGATGGACAACAGTTCTTTGCGTCTGTTCCACGTGCTGCCAGGGGGCCAACGTTGCTGTGAATACTTCTTCGACCCCTTTCCCCCACCACCGCCTGGCGCCTCAGGGGTTGGAGATATGTGTCCTGGGGCGTGATACCACTGTGATACCACTGTGACGGGTCTAACAGCCCTCCCCTTACCCCCGCCCTGGTTTGTGCTGTGAATTGTGTATTTCAGTGTCTGCGAAGCCTTTCCTCTCCAGGTGCCTTATAATGTTTCAGGGCCCAACTTTTACAAATCCAGACCAGTATAAAAACCACTCCTTTTTCCTCCCCACAATACTGAGCTCTGGATGCTGCCTGCTTCTAGACGCAGACAGGGACGTTACTGGTTACCGAGGGCGTCAGTGCGGTCGGTCAGAGCCGTCCCTACGGACACCCTGGGAGGCTAATATTTTTATACTGTATATTGTCCTTACGTGGGGATTTATACTTGAAGTTTTCCCAACATCCCTGAATAGGACTCTCATTCCCAATTTGCCTAAATGCTGACAAAAGCCTGGAACTCACTAAAACTGGATGTCCTTTCCCATTTGGAGGGAAAGGGAGTAGAGTCATCTTTCCCCGCCGCCTACTGCAAGCGCACGGGCGTTTCGCAGAGCCCCTTCTGGGGCAGCGGCTCCTGCCTGTGCAGGACAAGCTCTCTCTCCCTGCTGAGACTGAAGCTGTTTTCTCAGCAGGCCTGGGCTGCACGGGACTGTAGGCCTGACTGGGTACAGGCAAAGGCAGGGGCAGGGCTACCCCGCCCTCTCTGTCTCATGGTGACTACTGGACAGGGCTCAGTGAAGGCTGTGCTCACTACTGTAGGACAGGGCGGTCACCGCTTCTTTCTCTGAAAGACCAAGCAAATGCACTCTGCTTTTTGCTGCTCTGTGAGCCACCAAAGACGAGTCAGAAACAGAAGACCCCTCCCAGCTTGTGGGCCTGGATTCGCTCCTTGAGACTTCCGGCGAGCTTCTACAGGGACATGGTCTGAGGGCAGAGGACACATGGTGTCTGTCCTCGCTAAGTGCATCAGGTGAAACTGAAGGTTTTTTCACCGTTTGCTTTCCTGACGATACCAGTACTCCCTGCCTCCAGCTGAGACCTTCTGTTGAGTACAGACGAGATGGTCATTGTTTCCACCCCCCCTCTCACAGAAAAAGAGACGAAAGAGTCCATTCGTACTCTGATTTTCCACCACGGGAGAAACTTGAGTTTTATTTCGCAGCTCTAAGGCAGTCTTGCTGTTTGTCAATAAAGTGCTGAAAACCCTATGGTTTTCGCAGTAGCACCCAAGAACCAAGCCTGTAATCCCAACAAAGTGTGTGCGCACGCGTGTGTCGCCTGATGCAAAACCGCATGGCTGGGACTGGCCTGTGAGCGCCTCAGCTGCGGTCCGCTTCCAGTCGTCCTTCAGGCTGACTAGCGTGATGAGAAAGGAGCACGTCCTAGTGTCTGCCTCCTCAAGGGGCTTGGCTTTCCAAGGCTGGCAGTTTCACGGCCATCCCCCATTTCTGTTCCTGCCTTTCTCCCAGCATTTGGGATCCAGTTGGATCATTTCTACCTCGAACAGGTCAACGCATCGCATGTACCACAGGCTTCTGAACCCCTGAAGCGCTGGTGTCAAAGGCAGGAATGACAATTGTGGTTTTATGATGCCTTGAATGTCTAAGGCCCATGAGGATAATATGTACCTAGGGGTTTTTTAAAAATTGGGATCCCAAAGAAAAAGCAAGCAAGAATGGAGCTGTGTTCATACCGAATTTGGAGGTCAAGCTACTTCCCCTACTCTTACTTTCTTCCCAGCCCTTAAGGGATTGTCCCTTAGTTTATGAATTTTATACAGAAGAAACTGCCTTATAAACAAAGGCTTCTAGTTTGCGTGTTTATCCCCCTTTAACATGCCTGGAAACCAAAGTCGAATTTCTGTCTGGCCTTCTTGTCCCATCTATCTTGGCTAAAGATTTTGAAACTGTCCATAATGCTGAATAACAGAAGAGCATTAATGTGCTTGACACTATGACTGAAATTCCACATTCATGTTTGTCAATAAAAAGCAGCTTTCTGTAAACCAGGAAATTGTGTATGTTTAGGAGGGAGATCTGTTTATTCAGTCATCATAAATTAACCCTGTACAGACACACAAGCTAGGTGGACAGAGACTGGTCTTTTGTAGGCCATTTCTTCCTGCTAACCCCGTACCTGGAGGGCTTGATTTTTTTCTTTTATACACGGGTACTATACAGTTGGATATTGTCATTCTCAGTAGACATGATACCAGTTTCCCATTGCCTTGCTCCACAAATTTCAACAGAAAGCAAACTTGAATGTGCTCAGAAATTTCACAAAGTGCTTTTTGTTGACATTACCTTTGACATCGTTTCTTAAGATGTCCCCTCAGTTGGTAAAGTAGGCAGTACCTTAAAGGGGAGCCCTGAAATACAGAGAAATGCTTTGCTCAGCACCACACAGTGAGCTGGGTTTGCAGTCACCTGCTGTGAGGTCCACCGCGTGCATCCTGGCTCCTAGGACCACATCCACATGACAGTTTAGAATACAGAAAATGCACCAGTCCCTAGGGCTGTGCAGTCCTTTCCCAAGGAAGACAATACTAGCCTTCTGAATGCTGGGATTCATGGGCTTGTAGGTGTGGCTTTCTGGTGTGCCAGGATCTCCTGGCAGCTCCTGTATACTTCAGTCAAGCAGTCCAGCCGGGGCTTGGCACTCTGAATTCCAAAGGGGAGAAATGCACAGTCAAGACGAATGTAAGAGAGTGCTCAGAAGTGCTGCATCCATGTGCAGCCTCAATCTCTCACCCGCATCAAGGGGACAATGTGGCATAGGCGTGAGCTCAGAAAGGCAGAAGTTCCGGCCTCACAGCACCTTGCTGGAAGAGTCCCTAACTAGGCCCATGGCCCAGCCTGCAAACTGTGTGAAGCAGGATCTCAAAGTTTTTAATCTGTATAAAGTTCATGGTCTCCCTCTAAGAGCAGGCATGAGGAATAACAAGGAGACCCTCCCAGACGTGTCACAGCTGTGAGACAGGCCTCAGACACAAGAAGGGGAGTTTAGTGTTGAAAAATAATTTGTATAATGAAATGTAATAAAACCAAAATTAAAAGTCACAGAATGGGAAAAAGATATGTAGAAATCATATTTAATAAAAGTTTGCTATCAAAACATATACATTGTTATAAATGCATAATCAATATCTAAATTCTACTTGCCTAATAAAGGAGAAATAGTTCAAAACGAGAGGAGATACTAATAGGTAAATACAAGGAAATATGAAGTCTGTGTCATTTAAAGATACAAATATAAAAACTTTAAATTCCTTTACCCACACATGAAACTAAAAAATAAGCCCACTGTTAGCCCAGACTATAGAAAAACAAGCACAAATTCCCCAGAATATGGTAAAGTCCAATTTCTGGAGCCAAATTTCAAACACTAAAAATCTATGAAACTATGAGTTTTAATAAAATAATTTTGAACTATAATGCAGAAGAATTTTAGCCGCCTTAAATCCTTTATGAAGCAGCACACTGAGGCAGAGATAACCATGTACATAAATTATACGCCTATAAAGTAACTTATAATTGTTTTTGAATAAGAGCAAAATAAAAAATAACCTGGATGTGATTCCAAAAGCTAGCAGTACAGTGGCTAAATAAACTAATACTCAACATAAAGATATATTTAAAATATTAAGTAAATTGGCCTTTGTAGATGCATGAAAATATGCATATTAGATTTTAAAAGATACAAAACCGTGAACAACAGTATGTGTAGATCAATTACATCTACATAAAATCATATTGGTAGGACTGACAGTCAAAGTACTGGAAACAAAAGGTGATTTATAGGCAGTAGTTATTTTTTTCTCTAAAATTTGTATTAATTTGTAGTATTTCTGAAAGTCTATATTTGCCTCAGAAAGGAGCTTCTGAAATAACTAAAATCCTAACTCTTACTATAAATAGCTGTCAGGTATCTTCAAGTATTCGTGACAAGAAAAGTTTACATTGCTATTAAATGTAAGTAGCGGTGGATATGTAGTGGGGGGAAGGGTAGAGGATTTCTTTGGAGAAGAAAGTAAAGCAAAGTGTGCGCTCACCTGGAAGACAGGCACTACTTGCGATATCCCCTGGGGGTCCACCGGATCGTTCAATAAAATGCAGAGGTAGTAAATCACCTTCTGCTGGAAGAAAATAAACCAGATAGCAGTGATCTGAGTGAAACTGATTTGGTTCAAGGGACAGCTGAAACTTTTTCATAAATGGCTATCTCTAAGTAATAGAACACTTGATAGCTTTGAAGTAAGGGAGAAATATATTCTCGTGCTTTACATGAAAAAAAAAGATGAAATAGCAGCAATGACAACAACCAGAGATGATTCTGAAGCTGAGCCAGAAAATAAAGTAAACGCTGACTATTCATGAAAACTATCCCTATCCATGAAAACCTGCTGTGTCCCTTTAAAAATAAAGGGACATATCTTTTTCCAGTATAAGTTTCACTTTTATGGCTTTTAGACATTCCCGTCCAAAAAGAAATACCACAAGCACTGGAACGGAGAGTCCTCAAATTTAATTTTTTGACATCTAATACTTTATGTATTAAAACGGTTCATACCCAGGCACACCCCAAGGGCTACCTCCTCCAGAGAGGCCTGTACTACCGCTTAGGTACCTACCATGTAAATAGCCTCATTAATGATAACGTCCTTCACCTTGCCCATCTCGATGAAGGTGGTACTTTCTTTGCCAGAGGCATAGGATGACGTCAGCTGGATGCCAAGGGAATCGATGATTAACAGAGTCTCCTGGTCAATCTTCACGAAATGGAGGTAACCAAGCAGGCCCAAGAGGGTGATGAAGATGGCAGCAGAGAGGATCATGCTGTTCTGAAGAGAGAGCCAGACACAGGCAGTAAAATTACCGAGTGATCTTCTGCATATGCCTGCTGCTGAGTAAGTCAACTCCAGGCAATGCAGGAAAAAAGCCTTTGTTCTGCTGTGAGTTGAACAGATAAGAACACGCATGGAGGAAGAGATCATGCTTGTGTTCCGCAGAGCCAGGAAAGCACATGATGAAAAACATCCAACGGGGTAGGTCTGTGGAAGAAAACCTTCATCAGCAAAATATCCACCACCACACCACTCTTTTAGTTTTCTTCCAAAACTGTAATTTAAGGACTCAGACCTTTTCCTCTGATGCTCCCTCAGAAGTACAGTGCAAAATCACAGACTGAACAATAATAAAATGTTTAGCATAGTTTAACAGATACTACTCCATAACCACTCTCCTTCCTAACAGAACTCGGAGTGAATCATGATTGGTTCCCATTCCTGCCACTGACTGGTTTAGAAATGGACACATGACACAACTGTAGCCAATGAAACATGAGGGGAGATCTGTTGGAAGGGCTTCTGGAAAACAAAGTCCATCTTAAGAGCTCTAAGGAAGATAAGGTCCCTTTATCCTGAGGTCTTGATGTCTAGAACCATTTACTATGGACTCCATCAGACCATGTGGAGAGTTAGGCTGAAGACAAGTACACCCAGACAAAAAAAACAACAGAACAGAACAGAACAGAACGATCTACTGAGCCTCTTACGCCCTTTAGAGGACTCCTAGCTCCTGATTTCTTGTTTTGTTAAATTATAGAGATATTATCATTTAGGGCTCTTTTAGTCGTTTGGTGTGGTGACTAATTCATGTGTTAAAGCTGGCTGATTAGCTGATATGACTGACTTATATTAAGGGCTCAAAAATGGTATTTATTCCTTTGGTTCTAAGACACATTTACAACCTTTTTCATTTCTGAGTGAAAGGTGTTTTTCTATTGATGTGTGTTTCTTTCATGCAATACTGTTTTTTTGTTCTTTGGCATTGTTTTACCCCATAAAGCTATTATATAGAAGGATGGCACAGGAAAATAATCACTGGCCTAGAACAAAAGAGATTCTGTAATTTATGACTGTCAATCCTTGAGGGCAGGAATCCTATTACACAGAAGAATGGCACAGGGAAAAAAAAAATCATTGACCTAGAATCAGAAGAGATTCAGTAACCTATGACTATTATTCCGTGAGGGCAGGGAGTATTTTTTTATTGATAGTGACAAGATGCCTTCCTTGACCTAATTCTAGCCGAGCTCTTCTAAGCCCCTGACCTTGGTGTAGCAAGAACCTTGCGAAGTCAGTTTAGAGAGAACTCCCACCCTTAGCCTGATGACCTGGCCTGTCTTCAGCAAGAATCCGGTCAAGTCAGTTTAGCCAGAATTCTCCTTTACCCCTGATGTTCCCTTTTAGTAATTTCCCATCCACTGGCCATCACCCTGCTCCTTGGCTATAAATTCCCACTTGTCCATGCTGTATTCAGAACTGAGCCCAGTTCTATACAGTTCTAAAAGGTCTCTCTTCTCCTATTGCAAAAGTTTCTGAATAAAATCTATTTTTACCACTTTACCTAGTGACCAGCTCTGATTTTCTTTGGAAGTACCTTTCTACCTAACATAAACTAAATGCTAGCTCAAGGGTCTGCAAACTATTTGGACCTGTGATTTATTTTTGTTTGGTCCACTTGAACTAAGAATAGTTTTTACATTTGTAAAAGGGCTGTTTGAAAAAGAAAAAGAAACAGAAGGATATGAGACAGAGACCTGTTAAGCCTAAAATAGTTATGATTTGGCCTTTTAAAGGAAAAGTTTGCTGACATCTGTGCTAGATACCAATTTGTTGATTAATCAATGGAGGATGATGAAATCTATGTACTGAGTGTTGGATGTTCCAGAAATATCTACTGTGAATTAATTAAATGTATAGTATCTAGTACAGTGTCTTGTACATAGTTTACACTGAATAAACATTATAGAAGAACAGAAAGAAATAAAATTCAGTCCTGGTCCTTAAAGGTTTATTAGAGACAAGATCATATATAAAATATTTTTGGAGAATACTATGATACTGACTATAAATGCCTGAGAAAGTATTAAAAGGGGGGGGGGGGATGGCAAATGAAAGCACACAGGAATGTCCCGTGAAGACTTCCAAGGAAGCAAGATTTAATTGGTGCAGAGGTCATTGATACATAAACTTAGCTGAGAAAAGGGGGAAAGAACAACATTCTAGGTTGGAATAAATAAGGTAAAAACCTGGATTTGTAATAGAACTGTGAATTCTAAAACTGAAGAAGGGATGAAGAGCAGTAAATACTAAGGAAATTTGATCCATATCAACTTTTCAGGAAGGTAATCCCTGCCCAAACTTTATTCCTACCTACATTTTTAATACTTTATTTTTATAACAATCCAGTATTTATTTAGGTTGAAGTTAGTCATGTTTTAATGAATTCCTTCATCAGATTTCTTCTCACTCCTAGCTGAGATTCATTACCCTGACGAATAGTGTTGAACAGGAGGACAGATAAGAAATTTTGAGGCACAGAGCCCTGAAGAAGCGCTACAATGGAGTTGAAAGGAAGATGAGGTTACTGAGTCCTGGACACATGAGGCGGCTAAGTGGTACCATGATGAGAGAGATGGGTATAAAAGGGAGCTGGCACAAAAGACAAACTTCTCTATTTAAAAATCTTGTCTAAGCAAGCCCTCCCCAAGGAGGAGCCATCACAGTTTAGTTTAGAGGAAAGGAAAGAGTTTCAGCGTCAGACAGCCTTAGGTTAGAAGCCGAAGTCTGCCATTTACTAGCTTTGTGACTTGGATGTTATTGCTCTTTCTGAGCCTTGGTTTTCTTCTGACGCTACAACGAGGCATTCGGTAAAGCAGCTGCATTTGGTGGGCATTAAATAAGTACTGTCCCCTCCTCACACGACACACAGCCAGAACTCAGACTAGTATTAAAATTCAAAAATATTATAAATTCAACTTTTTGGGGGGTAAGGGGAGAAGGGCAGCCCTGGCAACTTAACCATTTCAAATGACTTATGAACAAACTTTTAGATACAGTTTGGTACAAACTAGGGCAGTCTTAATTATGCACATATCTACGTGAAACTGCCATAGTCTGAAATACGCTGGGATGGTGAAAAAGCTAATGAATGCAGTAACAGAAGCAATATCCCAATTATAGAAATAAAAAGCCCGGCTGTACTTAGCTTTGATCAGATCACTCCTGGAATAATATATTCAACTCAGGGCACTATATATGAAACCGAAAAAGGCAATGAGGATGATTCCTTTTATTCAAGGGCTGTCACAAAACAACTGCATGTGACCCCCGCAACCCTGTGGAGCTGTAATGGCAGATATTAATTCTATTTCAGAGATGTGAAAACCGAGGCTCGGAGAGCGGGAATGAGTCTGGAAATTGAGCACAAAAGCCAGCCACCTCCGAAATTTTATAATTTCTTGAAAGTGCTTGAAGTTGGGGGAGCGATCGGGAGGAGGGATGATTAGATTGCCTTTTAAAACAGAGATTAGGAAGAACTACCAAAATCAAGCTCTTAAATAACGTCTGTGTATATACACACGCTACACACACGGTGGAGACAAAGGCAGTTTCTGGTAAGCTATATGTAAGGCATGGTTAGCAGTGATTCCTCTGAGGAGTGTAAGTGTTGATTCACTTAATAGTTCTCCGAGCCCTTGGAACTGAGTTACTACGAGCATGCACTACATAAAGCACATGCAAGTTAAAGTTTTTGGCTATCGTGCAAGGACTAGATGCATGTTGGATGGAACCACAGAGCGTAGCAGCGACCCATGAGAGGGGTAAAGTGCAGGAGCACAAACTTCACTAAACGTAATGTGAAATGCTTTCCAGCAGCGGGAGGGCGTCCCCAGAGCCAGCGAGTTCCCGCCCTCCGGCCTTAAGGCTCCAGGAGCGCCCCAGGAGAGGCCTGGGCTCGATGCCAAGATTCCAAAGGCCCTTCCAAAACCGAGTCCCGGACACCGACAGCGGAAATGGGCGATCGGCCATTACCTCGCAAAGGGTGAAGAGTCCATAGGCCGCCAGCCACACAGTGCAGGTGACAGCGGTGAGCGAGCGCAGCGAGAGCCGAGGGCAGCTGAGGCAGAACTCCCGGCATGACGGGGAGTAGTGGCGGCGCTGCAAGGCCAGGCGGCCGCCGCAGATGTCCGAGAAGCTCAGCTCGTCCTCCATGGCCCGAGGGCACCCACCCGGCCACACCGCCGCTCTAGCCGCCCGCCCCTAGCTGTCGGCCCCTGTCCTCTCGCCTCCTCCGGACCCACTTCCGGAGAACGGGGTTGGCCACGCCCCTCCCTACGCTCAGCGCAGCCTCAGTTCCGCGCCGAGAGCTTTGGAGCGGTATTTTTCCTCGTTCCTGTTCGGCAGGGATTCTGGAGTTGTCTACTCCAAAGACTCAGCTAGGGGGCCAACAACTCAGCGGAGAGCTTGAAACCGCTTTGATGTGCTTTTTGTTGATAAACCGATTTCTATTTCTAAGCCAGAGTACACCCCAAGGAGACAGTCCACAGGTATTCATTCATTCTCTCTCATTCATTCATTCATTCATTCATTCACTCATGTAGTTTTAGGTGCTGAGGGTATAGCACTGAGCAATATTGAGAAGGTCCTTGCCTTCAAGTACCTTCCTTCCTGGTAAGAGAAACAATATGGAAATAAGTTGGCAATACTGTGGCTGGCAGGGACGGCTTGGGAACTTCCAACGGTGCAGCCAGGAAAGCCTCTCTGAGAAAAGACACTGTAGCTACAAGGATGAGGAGCCAGATTGTTCTGCGGGAGTAATGGGGGAGGAATTTGTCCGGAAGGAAGACCAGGGAAAGCAAAGCCTTGAAGCTGGAGCGCAGCTGGCTTATGGGAGGAATCAAAGATCAGAGAGGCAGACACATGAAGAATGCAGTTGGAAGTTGGGGAGGTAGGCAAGGGTCAAATCCAGGAGTGTCTTGTAGGGCCTGGTATGGAGTTTGGATTTCACTGCCAGTGAGTTCTCTTTCCCAAACCACTGAGTGGAGCGTAGAGTAGGCAGACAAGTCCTGGCTGGGAGGTAAGCAAGAGTGGAAGACGCAGAAGGTAATGGGTAATAAAATTAATAAACTCATGAGTAATTGCGGCCTGTGGGTTCCCTCTTTCTCCTTAGGATATGGCTCAAGAGTGGCAGTGTGGCCTGTTAAAGAGTTATAGTGCTTCAGACCTGAGTCAGCATCATATATTAAAGAATTGATCCCTTTGTGTATAAAGATAAATCACATAACAGTCTCACCAGCTTTAAGCCTCTGATGAAAGTAAGGTTAAGTTTCTCCATCTTCATCCGAGGTTTTGTTTCCCTTTTATTTTCTAAAAGATTTTCTTCAAGTATTACTTTGTTTTTCAAATTTGTGTATCCTGAATCTTACCAAGCAGTACACCCCTCTCATTTTAGGAAATATCATGTGATTATTTTATGATTATAAAAGTTATGTTTGGTTATTGTGGAAATTTTGAAAAATATAGAAAAGAAGAAAAACTTAAACCACCCTTATTTTCACCACTCAGAAATAAACACTGTCCATGTTCTGGAGGAACCTCTAGTCCTGGGGTCCTCAACCTGGGCTCCACGGGTGAAAAGTGGAGTTTCATCTTTAGTTTCATTAACTTATAATTGAAATTCAACATTTCTTTTGATTATTAATGTAGGCAACAAACCAATTAGTATTAGCAATACTTGTGATTTTTGTCAGTGATAGAAACCCCAGATATTTTCATTTCACAATAATTGTTACCTATCTCAAAATGTCATTTCCACTCATTTATATTTCAAAATTGCAGTAATTATTAGACCCACTATTAGATCTTGTTATGTCATGTGTCAATAGATACACATTACTATAACATTAAAATAATATTTTTAAAACTTGTTTTTTTAATCCTATATATTTTATTCATTTTTAAACATTATAATAAGAAGTCCATTTGATATACCAGAATTACAGGTCTGTAGCCCAAAAAAGTCTAAGAAGCTGTGCAGATTCAGAAGTTTCACAATATAGAGTCATAGGGAAAAAAAGACAACAAAATATACTTAATTTTTTTAATATTAAATTATTAGGGATAAGAAGTATAGTAATATAATTCCAGAATATTTATAACCACTTTGCTTTGTCAGATCACAGCAGCATCTTAATTCTGGTATGCAGTTTGGCACCTCAGAAGAAATTGAAACCTATGTATTTGCCATTTACCTAGAAGCCACCTGGGATGTGAAGTGACAAGTTGTCTTGATCATGACCCTGTAAAAACAGCAAGGGGTGATTCTTTAAGCTCTCAGTGTTGAACTTCAAAGTATTAGCAAGCCTCAAAAGTTCAGTGGACTGTATCAGCAAGGAGGGGCAGCTAATGAAAAGAACCTAGACTTAGCAGCTGGCAGGTTTGCCCCAGGAGGTTTAATATTTTTTTTGCAGGATCATGGAAGGAGTCTCACAGCTAATTCCCTGGTAAATTCTATTGTGGAGAAGCAGAGAAAGGAAGCATGAGAAACATGTGTACTTGATATTTGTCAAGGTAGGCCAACTGCTATTTAAAAAAAGAAAAAGCATTTTAGTGGTTTAACATAATAAATGGGAATGTATTTTATGTCTACAGTGCCATTTGGGTGCTCCTGGGCAAATGGCTGATGATGTTTGCCAAGTGGTGATTCAGAAAGGACCATGGGGCCTCTGGATGGCCCTCTCCATTGGAGCCTCTGCATCTGGCCAACAGATGAGGGGCAAGAATGGAGGATTTATACACGGGAGGATTTTATGGCCAACCTTTCCACCTACATTCCATTGGCCAGAACTCATTAACATGCTTCTACCTAACTTCAAAGGAGGCTGGGAAACAGGGCCTATCAGTATGCCCCATGAGGAAAGAGAAAAGATTTGATGATCAGCTGGTCAGTCTTTGCTATGCTCTCCAAAGAGTTCTGGCTACAAGAACCAGGAATACATTAGAGTGAATTGAGCATCGTAGTGGCAGCACATAGGATTAATCTGACTTACTTTTGATAAGACGGGTAATTATTTCTACTGGTGAATCTATTCTTGGAACCTGAGTCTCTGAATTGTGTCATAAAACAATCTAGCCCTGACTGGTGTGGCTTAGTTGTTTGGGCATTATCCTGCAAAGTGAAAGGTCTCCAGCCCTATTCCAGTCAGGCACATCCCTACAGGGTGTGGAAGAGAGGCACCTGGTGGATGTTTCTTTCTCACATTGATCTTTCTCTCCCTCTCTTTCTCCCTCCCTTCCCCTCTCTCTAAAAATGAATAAATAAAAAGGTTTAAAAACTTAGAAAACCCTTTTAGTATTTGCTTACTCTCATTGATTGCAAGGTTCTAAGAATACTGTGTTATACGGTCGTTTTTATTGTTTCCTTTTTTAATAATATAGAACTAATGATTGCTGCTACTATGTTAACTGAGAGTAGGTCTCCTTCTATTTAGGACCACTTAGCAATATGGGAGGAAAAGTAAAGACCCAAATGAATATAAAGAAACCCCAAAAAAGCTTTTAAAAAGATAAGTATTGCTAATTAAACCTCAATTTTTTCAAAAAAGCAAATGAAAACTAATTTAAAACCTGTTGCAATTTAGTGAAATTGATCAATAAAGTAATTTACTCTGCATAAGTAAATAAGTATAACACACTTTATCTTTGTTTAGAATTCCATTTTGATTTATCTATACAGCGTGAGTGTATCTCTGTGTAGCTTTTTTTTAGTGGTTGCTCTAGGTATTACATTATCTATCCATGTACATAAATGTTTTAGGAAAAAACTCAGTCTTCCTCCTGTGTTTCTGCTTTACTCTCATACTGCTACCACACTCACAACACTTCTGACACCAAATGTGTGGGTTTTGTTCCCATATCAAGAGCAATTCTCTGTGACACCAGCTGGGTGGGTGTCCCATAATTTAATTCGGTTCTGACACTATCTACCTGGAGATGGCGTCAGATCCCACAGTTGCTTACATTTTAGTTTTTCTTAAGGGTTGAAATTCCAACATATTTTTACAACTACCAGGAATAAAGGAAACAATTTTGAATGACACGAAGTAACATATGTTCTCAGTAAAAGAAAGTGTATGGTATGGAAATACATTTTTGAAGGAATTAAAGTGGTGTGTCCTAAAATCAGGTTGGTTATTTCTGAATTAACAAGAGACAAACTAAAAGGGACAAAAAAAGTTGTAGAAGGTTTGTGGAAAAGTAATCTTTGGAAAAAAAAATTTGTGTGGACAAGCTGAGTGGGATTGAAATAACTTTAATCAAGTAAGCAAATTTAAATATCAAAAGTAAGCTGATGCAAAATTAGATGCAAAAAGTACCACCTGGTGCTTCTGGACAGTCCTCTTTAAATTCTTCTGACTCAATATTGATTTTATACATCACCCCAGAGCCTCCTGAAACATCAATGACTTTGATAGCTGTAGCTTGAGGAAAGTTTTGTCAGAGAATTGGGGTCACTTTGAGCTCCCCCTCAGTCTTCAGGGCAAACTTCCGCTGGGTATGGAGAAGAGGAAGCCCAGGGATCCAGAGAAGCAGAGGCGCTGCCACAGCCAGGCTCCGGGCCGCCATGCCTGCGCCTGGCTGACGCCTCCCGGGAGAGACTTGCCCAGACCGCTTCTCTCTCTGCTACAAAGGAGAAAGTTTCTGGAGCTGTTGGTCTGCTACTGATAAGATATTGTGAAAAAGTGTTCTACCTAGAAAGCGAAGATCCTGTGTTTTATCAAAATGATTTTTCTGTGTTTTATGTTAACCAGATCCTTGATTACTTAAGAAAGCTGAATCTTAATAAGAACTAAGTTTAGCTAACATGTATGTAAGCTTCTGTATTGGTCTTTGAAATCTTTTATTGTCACTTTGGTTAAATGGATAATTAACATTATTTCATAATGACTCATGATCCTATTTAGTCAAATGTCCAAACCTCTTGATATATTTTGACAAACTTCCCAAAATTCAAATAAAGTCTTGACCTAGGAATAACTTTGAGGTATTTCAGAATGAAATACCCTGGAGCGGCTCAAAAGATTTGTTTTCTCTCCTTACAAAAAATATATTTTAAACTAATTAAGTTGCATGAGATACATTGTAAAATAAGTAATGATTAGCTTTTAGGGTAAATAATAGCTGTAAATCAAATGAATAGTTGAGGCTATTAATTAATTAATTAATTAATTTTAGGGGCGGGGTTTGCATTTTTTT